CCTTCCAAGTAGCTGGAACTATAGGCGCGCGCTACCACACCTGGCTAGTTTTTTGATTTATTGTAGAGATGAGGTCTCACCAAGTTGCCCAGGCAGGTCTCGAACCCGCGGGCTCAGGCAATTCACTCACCTCAGCCTCCCAAAGGCACGGGATTACAGGCTGAGCCACCGAGCCCGGCTTAATTTTTTGATTTATTGTAGAGATGAAGTCTCGCCAAGTTGCCCAGGCAGGTCTCGAACCCATGGGCTCAGGCAATCCACTCACCTCAGCCTCCCAAGGCACAGGATTACAGGCTGAGCCACCGAGCCCGGCTAAAATTTTTTATCTTACATTTTTCTAACATGTGATAATGATCTGCCTTCAACTTCAAAAGTCTTTTGCTTTTAAGGCTCTAGTAACTTGCTTATTTATCTATCTTTTCAAGTGATGCCATATGATACAAAGGGTATAGTCATAGCTGCCTTTTTTTTTTCTTTTTTTTTTGCTGCCTTTTCATACAAATGTTCTTTATTGCTATCTTCATTACAAAGAAGTGTTGGCACCACTGTGAGAGCACTTTACACATTCTCTCTCTACATAATGCCAGCTGATTTTTTAAAAACATACATCTCAGTATATATTCCATCTCTTTATTTGCTTTTCATGTAATTTGAGTGGAAAACTTCAGGAAAACATATATTTTTGAAAAAATTTGTGCTGGTAAAAGTTTGTCCTATATAGTCACGAGAAATCTCTTTATGTCCCCTGAGAGGGGACATCTGAGTGGTTTGCTAAATTTACAATGTCCCCTCAGAGGTGACATCCAAGTACAAAGGTTTAAAAAAGAGTCCATTAAGGGTGAGAAAGACATTCTTCATTTACAGACCCTTTTATATCTTCTGAATTTGGAAACATGTGACTATATTAATTGTTCAATAAATGAAATTAAAATTATTTAAAAATTTAATAAGACATTAACAATTCTGCTTTCTTTCTTTCTTTTTTTTTTTGAGTCAGAGTTTCACTCTGTTGCCCAATTTGGAGTGTAGTAGCACACTCATGGCCACTGCAGCCTCAAACTGCTGGGCTTAGGCAATCCTGCATCAGCCTCCCAATAGCTGGAACTACAGGTGCATGCCACCACACCCAGCTAATTTTTTAATTTATTGTAGAAATGAGGTCTCCACCAAGTTGCCCAGGCTGGTCTCTAACCCTGGGATTCAGGTAATTCTCTTGTCTCCACCTCCCAAAATGCTGGGATTACAGGCGTGAGCCACTGCGCCCAGTTATGATTCTGTTTTCTAATGAGTTTTTCAATTTTATATGAAGTCCTACCAAAAGATTTCCTCCTAAACTAAAATTTCAGCAATAATTTTAGGTGAATAAATAACAAGCTAGAAGTCCACTAACCAAGATTTTACTCCCCTGAATCTGCTAACCAGTAACTATATCTTTAGAATAGGTAAACTCTGTAACTGGCCTCTGTAACCACTGTTGTACTTCATAGGGTTGTTATAAACATTAAAAAAGGAACTACTCTTGAAAATGCTTTGAAAAATAGAACATCTTTAACAAATACAAAGAGTATTACTATAATTTAGTTCACACACCAAAGTGATCCCAGTCTTCCTGTAGATTTTGAATCTCCAGCTGGTTCTTGCCTTCAGTGAAAATTGGTTTTGGATTCTTCTCAAAGCCCCCCGACAAGATGCCACCTTGCCAGTTCCGAATATAAATTCTTCCATCAGCATCTACAATAGCTGAGGAAGAGAAACAACAAGGGAGTGGGGAGTAGAAGAAAAAAACCAAGGGTTTAGAGGCAAGTTAGTTTTCTAAATGGACAGAAAAAGAAATGAAACAAAAACATCTATGAATGGCTTTATTAACAAAGTAGCATCCAATGAACACAGGCACTCATTAGCTTTCAAATACCTTTTGAGGTCACAGGGAGGATCCTCCCACTCAGATTTACAGTAGAGACTGCTTCTCTGATTATCCCTAAGCTTATCAGTTACCTAGGAGCTCTGACTAATCTTCATGACCAAACTACATCACTGCCATTGTGGCCAAGCTAAAAGTCTAACAGAAGAGGGGTTTGCAGAGCCCATTCAAGGCATTAAGACCACAAAATGGTATCAAAGTCCTCTCCCACAGCACCTGGAGTCACTAAATCAATTTACAATTTATATCATTAAATTTAAAAATTCACGGTTACATTCCAAATATTCTCAATGACCTCTGTTTAGGATTAAAATTAGATTGCAAAAAACAAAAACAAATGCTTAGTGGAATGCTCATTTTGGCCATCTTTTCTTAAAGAGTTATTAAAGAAAAGTTAAAATTGGGTCCGCCTCCCTGTAACATGCTTCAGAAATAAAATGAATCATTCAGGCAGTCTGTCCTTAGAAGAAAGTTTTCCTTTCCGGAGGACAGGACACTGGCAAGGAAACAAGATTAAAAAAAAAAAAGTACAAGTCCTCACTTGGTGTGTTGCTCTGCAGAGGGGTCTCCAAGGGGCGAGTCAGAAGGTAGAAGTGTTCGCAGGCATGTAACGGGATACTAACCGGCTCCTCGTTGGACAGACCCAGCTCGTATGCCCACTACAAATGGACAGATTTATTTGTAGGTGGGAAGAGGAACAGAAATACAAATGAGCAAGTCCAGCCTCTTGAAAAGAGTTTAATTTCAAGTGGCTTACATGTGCTCTTGCTACCGTGTCAGGTGAGAAGGTTTCCGCCTGCTTTACTTCAATTATTTGGTTGGGGAGCAACACTATACTTTGTAAACCATAAAAACTACTTTTAGGTTAAAGGAAGAAAGATTTACCAACTACTCAAAGGAGCTCACGGGAACCTTAGGAGGTTCTTTTTATAAAATGCCTGGTCTCAACTATAAACCCCAAGTACCAATCATTACATGAACTTCACCCATGAAGAAAGTATTTCCTAGGTCACCATGTAGGATGGAAGGCAAGGGATCAATCTGCCTTAAAAGTAGCAGCAACTTAGTGTTCTAGAAACAGACTCTATGATCCTGACATAATAAAATAGCCTGATATTTTATCTGCTAGGTTGCAGAATGAAATGTAACACCACAGAAAGACCCAATACCAAGGATTCTGGCTGAGTATTGCTGGTCTTCCTGATCAGGATAGCACCAGTTAACCCAGTGTGGAGAGTGGAGGAAGGAGAAAGTCACAGATGACTCTATTTGAAGGATAAATACAAGTTTCCAATTTAGAATACCATTCAAGAATTCTGAGTTTTCTTGTCCAAACAAGAAATAGTGTGGCCTGATTATTTGTACAGCCCAGTCACAATGTCTCTACACCAAAACATCCTGGAGACAAAAGTTAAATAAAATCAGCACCCCAGTGTTCGTGCTAACCTACCTGACCAGCACAGTTAACAAAATACTGGCATTCAATCTGTCCTTTGTCTGTCTCCACGCCAGCAACTTGACCTTTTTTGACCAGTACGTGAAGAATAGTTGTCCGGTCATAGATCTGAACACCTGTTGCAAGGTAAAAAAAAAGGTTGGTGCATGATGTGATGTTCCAGAATTAAGGCATCTCCAACAGATTCTCTACCCAAAAGAAGCACCGACAAAGTCAGGTCAATGCGTTAATTAAAAACAAACAAAACAAAAAACCCAGAACCACATCTTAAGACTGTGTAAATGGGCCTTACCCAAGTTTGAAAACAACAGATTGGTTTAAAAACAGACTTTAGTACATAACAATTAAACTACAGGAATCATAAAATATGGAGCAGGGAGGAGAGAGTTCAAATGGGGCATCTTAAATCCTAATCTACCCATATCATGAATCAGTTTATCCACAGAATATAATACCCTGGACACTAATACATCTTCCCCTCATTCACTCCAAAACTAGGACATGTTTTAGGTTGTGGATTAAACTCCCAAGGTGTGTTCTAACCTTGGAGCTTCTCAAGTCCTATACAGGGAAAAATTTCCTTAAGTCCGAAGTGATTAATCATCATGAAAAGCAGTTCCTTGGAACTTTAAAAGTGTTGACCCTGAGAAAAAATACTTATTAGTATGTATTATATAAAAGAAAATTGTAAGAACCAGTGTTTAAAAATGGAAGCCGAACACCCCAATGAGAACAATTTCTCCAAATCTGAGTTGGTGTCACTGCTGGTTATACACGTTCTTATATAACCTCTTCCTTCCTACCCCATAAGAAAATGCAAAAGCCTGCTCACCGTTTTGGGAGGCAGCACTTGCCAGGGCAAGAGCCACATCAGCAGAGGACACCACTGCATCCTCGGGAACATGCATGGCCCCCACCAGGTCGTGCACATTGAGGAGAGGGTGAAGCTCAGCCACTTTCCTGGGGGAGATGATCTCAGAAGGGATGCCTATGACACTGCCACAGAACACAAGGGGACAATGACATTCACTGCCCTTTGGCAGAGGTCAGTATGGGAAAGTCAGGACAGGCTTCTAGCCTCTTACGTACTTCAGCCTTGAGTTGATGCGCTTCAGGGAGATCAGCCGGTCCTGAGTTTGGGCCAGAAAGATTGAGCCTGTCCTTATGTAACCTGTAAGAAAAATCAGCCCAGACTGAGACAGACCAGACCAGATGTAAGGTGGGTGAGTAGAAAATCCACTATATGAGCTCACGAGTGGTGGCTCACGCCTGTAACCCCAGCACTTTGAGAAGCCGAGGCAAGAGGACTGCCTGAGTCCAGGAGGTCAAGACCAGCCTGGGCAACTTGATGAGACCTCGTATCTATAATAAATCAAAAAATTAGCTAGGTGTGGACTTGCACACCTGTGGTTCCAGCTACTTGGAAGGCTGAGGTGGAAAGATCACTTGAACCCAGCAGTTTGAGGCTGCAGAGGTCGCAAGAGTGTCACTGCACTCCAGTCTGCGTGACAGAGTGAGATTCCTACTCAAAAATAAAAAAAAAAATGCAGGGCACAGTGGCTCACACCTGTAATCCCAGCACTTTGGGAGGCCGAGTGAGAGGACTGCATAACCCCAGGAATTCGAGACCAGTCTGGGCAACTTGGCAAGACCTCATCTCTACAATAAATCAAAAATTTAGCCAGTCATGGTGGCACATGCCTGTAGTTCCAGTTACTTGGAAGGTTGAGGCAGAAGGATCGCATGAGCCCAGCAGGTTGAGGGTGTAGTAGCCGTGAGTGTGCCACTGCACTCCAGCCTTGGCAACAGAGTGAGACTCAAAAAGAAAAAAAGAAAATCCACTAGATGAAAGGTTAGAAGGTTAGAAGACTTGTGATGAGTCCTGGGACTGCCATTTAATATTCTTAGGTGAGTTCTCTGAGCTTCTGTGAAATGTGAACTACTTCAGATGCACTAAGGCTCCATTTCCTATCCAAACATTCTCAGCTTATAGTTTAGTGAGAGTCAAATGATATTCCAATGTACATTAAAACACTCAAAATAAAATGAGAGCCGGGCTCGGTGGCTCAGCCTGTAATCCCGCTCTTTGGGAGGCTGAGGTGAGTGGATTGCCTGAGCCCACAGGTTCGAGACCCGCCTGGGCAACTTGGCGAGACCTCATCTCTACAATAAAATCAAAAAATTAGCCAGATATGGTAGTCCACGCCTGTAGTTCCAGCTACTTGGAAGGCTGAGGCGGAAGGATCGCAGGGAGCGTGCCACTGCACTCCAGTCTGGGCAGAGTGAGACTCCAACTCAAAAATATAAAAAAGTAAAAATACAATAAAATAAAATGAGAAATACCATTGCTAAAAAAATCTTTTGGGTGGGGATGTGACCTAGACCCCATCCCTCTTCTTTACTTCTTTTCGGCAATTTCATCCTTTCTCCTCCTAGTCTTGGCGGAGTTTAATCCTGGGTGAAGGCCATTCATGAGATATCAGCTACCAGGGTTGGATCCTCCCTCTCCTTCCCCAGTATATCCAAATAGTGGGCATGTGACCTAGGTTCAGGCAATCAGACCTTTCTGGAATACTTGGTCTTTTTTTTTTTTTTTTTCATAAGTAAATCGAAATTTTATCTCATCTTATTTTACTTTACTTTATAGATGTAGGGTACAAGTCAGGTAGGTGAATAGACAGAAGTCACTCATCTCCAGGGCAGCAGTATCCTGGATAGATTCCTCCTGTTTCAGCTGAGGGACTGCCTGCTGTGGGGTTCCTACATCCTGGCCCCCAAGCTGCCTCCAGCTGGCAGCCTCCTGCCAACCCCACAGGTCTCAGTGTCCTCCTAACATGCTCTTTTTTGTCCAAACTAGCCAGAGGTAATTTCTATTGTCTGGAATCAACAAACCTGATGTAGAGCCATTATTACACTTGGGCCAACAATAATCCTCCTAAAATACAATGACCCTTACTTAGTTCCTATAAAGAAAGAGTTGAGAGCTGCTTGTTGCAGATGGTAGGCACTAAGTGAGCCAAGATGCTGTGGAGTCAACTGGCTCTTCATCAGATTGCCCAGAGGACCATAAGCATTGCCTCACACAGGCATTTTAAAAATAAAGTTCCACAAAAACAAAAGCTGTTTCAGGAAGGTGATGGAATTCTAGTGTTTCTAAAGGGCAGGGCAGAGCCAGGCTCAGTGGCTCAGCCTGTAATCCCGCGCCTTTGGGAGGCTGAGGTGAGTGGATTGCCCGAGCCTGCAGGTTTGAGACCTGCCTGGGCAGCGAGACCTCATCTCTACAATAAATCAAAAATTAGCCGGGTGTGGTAGCAAGCGCCTGTAGTTCCGGCTACTCGGAAGGCTGAGGTGGAAGGATCGCCGGAGCCCAGCAGGTCGAGGCTGCGGTGGCCGGGAGCGGCCACTGCACTCCAGTCTGGGCGACAGAGTGAGACTCCAACTCAAAAAACAAACAAACAATAAATCAAAAAATCAGCCGGGCGTGGTAGCGCATGCCTGTAATTCCGGCTACTCGGAAGGCTGAGGCAGAAGGATCACCAGAGTCCAGTGCGTCGAGGCTGCGGCGGCCGGGAGCGGCCACTGCACTCCAGTCTGGGCGACAGAGTGAGACTCCAACTCAAAAAATAAATTAAATAAATAAATAAATGAATGAATGGCAGTTGATGTCCTCCTGTATAGAGCTGCCATGACTCCTGCAATTGGTGGAACAGCAGAAGTCATGTATCGGCTGATTATAGCTTCATTTCCCAAGGAGCAGGGCTGACTTCGGTCATCCCAGCAATCACCTGATTCAATTTCTTTCAGCTCTCTATGAATCAATAACCATAAATAACTGAGCTATTCTTTGAAGATCAATATTTATTGACCTGTACTGTCACCAATAAAGCAATCTTTATCTTGAAAAAAAGGTGAATCAATTGAGTATCTTTTCTTCAATTAAATTTTTTAGAGACAGGGTCTCACTCTGTTGTCCAGGCTGGAGTATAGTGGCACAACCACAGCTCAATGTAGCCTCCAACTCTTGGCTCAAGTGATCCTGCCACCTCAGCCTATTGAGTAGCTGGAATTACAGGCATGTGCCACAATGCCCAGTTAAACAATCTAGTATCTTTCAAAAAAGAAGTACAGTCAAGATAATTTATATTTTTTATTAATTTCTCTTGAAATCTTCATGCTCTTCAATGACATGATAAAATGGTCCCAGTCTGGGAATGTTCACAACACAAAGAAAAAATAAATGTCTGAAGTGATGGAAATCCCAATTACTGATTTGATCATAACACATTGTATGTATGTATCAAATATCACATGTACCCCCAAAATATGTACAACTATAATATACCAATTAACAAAATGTTTAAGTATACATATATATATTCCCATAAAAAAGAAGAGTCCAGCTGGGCTCGGTGGCTCAGCAGCTCAGCCAATAATCCCGCGCTTTGGGAGGCTGAGGTGAGTGAATTGCCTGGGCCCGCAGGTTCGAGACCCGCCTGGGCAACTTGGTGAGACCTCATCTCTACAATAAATCAAAAAATTAGCTGGGCGTGGTAGCGCACGCCTGTAGTTCCTGCTACTTGGAAGGCTGAGGCGGAAGGATCGCTGGAGCCCAGCGATCGAGGCTGTGGTGGCCGGGAGCGGCCACTGCACTCCAGTCTGGGTGACAGTGAGACTCCAACTCAAAAAAAAAAAAAAAAAGAGTCCACTAGAGTTCAAACTAAATACAGAGTGCAGCTGTTTTTTTGGTATTCAGTGAAAAGGAAGGAAAGATCTTTACTTTTTATTTTTTATATTTCTATAAATTTTTCAAAGGTTTTTTAGCCCACTAAATATATTTTTAAAATTAATTTGCTACTGACTTGAAAAACTGGTTTAATCTCCCTGCATCTAGGTTTAACTGTAAAAGAAAAAGATACCTCCTTATTATAAGATCAAATAATATATGGACTACTTTCAAAAGATCACTAAAGCTTTTAGATGATCATTTATTCCAATTAGTTGGCAAAAATTCTATCACGTGCAATGTGAAGCACCAAAGAAACTAACATTCAGCATAGTCAAGGAATAAGGAATCTTGGAGTGATCTAGCAGTTTGAATTTATTATTATTATTATTGAATTTAAAAGTAGTTAACATACACCTCACCTAAATAAACTATTTTCAGAGGACTAGCATGTAATACAGTTGTAGCTCCATACCTATGGGTTCCACATCCGTGGATTCAACCAACCTTGAACTGAAAACATTCAGGGGGAAAAGCTTCCACAAAGTTCCCAAAAGCAAAACTTGAATTTGCCCTCTGTCAAGTACTACACTGAATCTAGGCAAGTGAAGTAATGTGTAGGCACTATATTAGGTATTATAAGTAATCTAGAGATGATTTAAGTTATACAGGAGGATGTACGTAAGTTACATGCAAATACTACATGCCATGTAATACCAGGAAACGTTTAGCATTTGCAGATTTTGTATGGTGGAGGGGATCTGGAACCAATCCCCCATGGATTCAGAGGGTCAACTATATTCTCATTAAATCTAGGTTGTACAAGTCACTTACTTAATCTTTTTTTTTTTTTTTTTGAGTTGGAGTCTCACTCTGTCACCCAGACTGGAGTGCAGTGGCTGCTCCCAGCCGCCACAGCCTCGACCCGCTGGGCTCCAGCGAACCTTTCGCCTCAGCCTTCCAAGTAGCTGGAACTACCACACCCGCTAATTTTTGACTTATTGTAGAGATGAGGTCTTGCCAAGTTGCCCAGGTGGGTCTCGAACCCGCGGGCTCAGGCAATCCACTCACCTCAGCCTCCTAAAGTGCTGGGATTACAGGCTCAGCCACCGAGCCCGGCTACTTACTTCATCTTTATTTAATGATTCAAAAGCAGTCCACTCAGTAACAATTACCACAGTACATGTATACACTACTGGTTACCAGATAATTCTCCATCACAGAAGCCCCCCAAGTAATCTTTCACTGTATCACCAGCATACCACAATGGGAGTGATAGATTCTGGATGATCCCTTTAAAGTCCCTTGCATGACTTCCTCAATGCTTGCCCCACCCTTCTGTTCCACAAGCATCAAACAGAAGTCAGGTCAGGTAAGGGTAGACTGTAACCTAGAACTAATGCTAGGCTAACTTACCTTACAGAAATGAAGCCTATGATTCCTCTGAAATCTAATCAGCTGAGCAATGCAAGTCTCAACAAAGCACTAGCAACTGAACTAGTGGGCCAGGAGTCAGTCACTCCATCTCTGAAGCATTCTGTGGACCCTCTACTGACTCAAATCCTGGTTAATACTTGATTCAAGCATCGTGTTGCCATCAAATTCAATCCAACCAAAAGGGACTATTTTCCACCTGCCCTGCATATAAGAGGCATCTTCTCCAGTAAAAGCCAGAGAAACAGCTGGGCCTGGTGACACAAGCCTATAATCTCAGCACTTTGGGAGGCTGAGGTGAGAGGACTGCCTGAGTTTGAGACCAGCCTGGGCAACTTGGCGAGACCTCATATCTACAATAAAATCAAAAAATTAACCAGGCGTGGTGGTGTGTGCCTGTAGTTCCAGCTACTTGGAAGACTGAGGCAGAAGGATCGCCTGAGCCCAGCAGGTTGAGGCTGCAGTGACCATGAACGTGCCACTGCACTCCAGCCTGGGTGACCAAAAAAAAAGAAAAAATAATAAATATACTTAAAGGCAATTGAAGTTTAGTTGGTCAAATTATGATGTAACTGTTAGGCCCCTAAACTTAAGTTCTTTCTCTTCCTCTTTGTTTAGGAGTCTAATGTTGCCATTTTATTAGGCCTAAATGAGTGAAATGCATAGGAAATGCCCCAAGAAAACTTTCATGCTTGACAAGAATTATAGGATCAGAAATCCCCTTACTTTAAGATAGGGAAACTGAAGATCACTCAATAAGCTAAGCGACTTACCCAAGGTGACACTCTGGCTAGTGGCAGAATCTAGACTAAAACCCAACTTAATTACCAAATTAACAGGCAAACCCAGCAGAAGATCAAATACGGTACTGAGTAAAAGAGACTGGTGAACAGGCAGACCAGTAAACAGTAGATTGCCTGCTTACCTGTTTGGATCCCTGTTTCTTGCTCTAACTGTTGGTAGAGTTTGTTTGAATAGTCTGCCATCTTCTGCTCAATGGTCAAGTGCCTGGCTGTGCTCAAGATGCCAGCACAGAACCTTGTAGAACCAGCAGCTAGCCTGTAGAATAAATGCAAAAAACCATTAGTTAGACTCACATCTCTATGAATACAAAATCAAGATTCTCATTATAGTATTGTCTATAGTATCAAAAGATGGAAACAGGCCGGGTGTGGTGGCTCTTGTCTATAATCCCAGCACTTCGGAAGGCCGAGGTAAGAGAACTGCCTGAGCCCACAGGTTCGAAACCAGCCTGGGCAACTTGATGAGACCTCATCTCTACAATAAGCCAAAAAATTAGCTGGTTGTGGTGGCCAATGTCTGTAGTTCCAGCTACTTGGAAAGCTGAGGTGGAAGGACCACCTGAGCCCAGCAGGTCAAGGATGTGGTGGCTGTGAGTGTGCCATTGCACTCCAGCCTGGATGACAGAGTGAGACTTCAACTCAAAAAAAAAAAAAAAATTTCTACAGGTCATCTATCCAAAAAAAAAATTGCTGGAATACTATACAGCTATAAAAAAGAACGAGAAAGCTCTTTATTCACCAATATGTAAAAATTATAATGAAAAAAGCAAGGTAAGGAACAGTGTTTAAATATGCTTCCACTTGTATAAAAAAGGGAAAAAGGGAAATACTCAGACACACATATTCATATCCACCAATACGTATCTGCTTATATATGTAGAGAAAGTATCTGGAACTTAACTTGCCTCCAGAGAAAAAAACTTGTACTCAGAGATCAGGAATAAGAGGGAGACTTTTCTCTGTACACTCTTTTACATATTTTCTTTTCTTTTTTTTTTTTTTGGAGTGGGAGTCTCACTCTGTTGCCCAGACTAGAGTGCAATGGTCGCTCCTAGCCACCACAGCCTCGACCTGCTGGGCTCCGGCGATCCTTCCACCTCAGCCTTCCAAGTAGCTGAACAACAGGCACATGCTACCACACCCAGCTAATTTTTTTATTTATTGTAGAGATGAGGTCTCACCAAGTTACCCAGGTGGGTCTCGAACCCATGGGCTCAGGCAATTCACTCACCTCAGCCTCCCAAAGCACAGGATTACAGGCTGAGTCACCAAACCTGGCTACATATTTTGAATCATGAGCCATATAAATATATATTGCCTATTCAAAAACAAATAGAACTTAAATTGAAAAAATGTTCTCCAATTTATGGTAGGCAATAGAACATAAAATGCTCCAGTAATTCAAGAGGCCCACACACTAAGCAAGCAGGTGGGGGCTGTAAGAGGTCACTTTCCCATTTAGCACTCAGTAAACTACTACCTCTGTTAGTGTTGTCACTTGAGTTTACCGTTGTTACTCGAATGACTATCTTTCTCACGTCAGATTATCAGCTCCCTAAAGATAGAGATTTTTTTCAGTCATCTTTGTAACTATAGCACAGTCACTATGGGGAGCTCTACCCAGGTGGGAGTTCCACTAATTGTGGCTGGTAGACTGCACCTACAGCTCAGGTAACATCTCAGCTGGGTCTTCACTCCTTTAGTAGCTCTGACAGTGTCTCTTGTCTTTGGGTGTATATTTGAGTCACCTGGGAAGCTTTTAAAACTACTGATGCCTGGCCTCACTCCTAGAGATTCTGGTTTGTTGTGGGAAGAAGCCTGGGCATTAGCATTTGCTGAAAGTTCCCCAGGTGATTCTAATGTGCAGCTAGAGCTAAGGACCACTGATCTATGAGGAGGATAATACTGGAGATGAAGACGAGGAATGATACTGATAGAGGGGAGAGTAAAACCATTTCACAGGATGGGAGTGGTGACTCAAGTCAGTAATCACAGCACTCTGAGAGGCCAAGGTGAGAGGTTTGCCTGAGCTCGGGGTTCGAGATCAGCCTGAGCAACTTGGTGAAACCTCATCTCTGCAATAAATTAAAAAATAAGCCGGACATGGTAGAGTGCACCTGTAGCTCCAGCTACTTGGAAGGCTGAGGTGGAAGGATCATCTGAGCCCAGCAGGTCGAGGCTGCAGTAGCCGTGAGCAGCATGCCACTGCACTACTGCATGGGTGACAGAGTAAGACTCCGACTCAAAAAAAAAAAATTTTTTTCACAAGCCGCTGTGGAGGCATAATTATTTTAAAATATGAGGGTTTTGTCTGAGCCCACGGGTTTGAGACCAGCCTGAGTAACATAGCGAGACCTCATCTCTACAGTAAATGAAAAAAAATTAGTCAGGTGTGGTGACACACACTTGTAGTTCCAGTTAATTGGAAGACTGAGGCAGAAAGATCACCTGAGCCCAGCAGGTTGAGGCTGCAGTGGATGGGAGTATGCCACTACACTCCAGCCTGGGCGACAGAGTGAGACTCAGACTCAAAAAATAAAAATAAATAAAAATAAAATGAAATAAAATATGAAGCCGGGCTCAGTAGCTCAGCCTGTAATCCCACGCCTTTGGGAGGCTGAGGTGAGTGGATTGCCTGAGCCCATGGGTTAGAGACCCACCTGGGCAGGCGAAACCTCATCTCTACAATAAATCAAAAACATAGCTGGGCGTGGTATGCACGCCTGTAGTTACAGCTACTTGGAAGGCTGAGGCAGAAGGATTACTGGAGCCCAGCCAGTCGAGGCTGCGGTGACCGGGAGCATGCCACTACACTCCAGTCTGGGCGACAGAGTGAGACTCCAACTCAAAACAAAACAAAAAACAAAACAAAACAAAAAATATGAGGTTATGCAGTCTGCCTGATGTCAATTCTAAGGTGTTATATAATCTTGGAGCATCAAATTAAATAAAAAATGAACCTCCCTGGGGTCTCCCACTTAGAAACATTTATACTGAAATGATGTCATTTTCTATGGATAGAATAGGACTGATGGTTAAATTTACAAGAATTTCAAAACTAGGAGAAAGAATTTGACATCAAGGAAGCATTAAGAAAATTTACGAAGCCGGGTTCGGTGGCTCAGCCTGTAATCCCACACTTTGGGAGCCTGAGGGTTCGAGACCCGCCTGGGCAACTTGGCGAGACCTCATCTCTACGATAAATCAAAAATTAGCCAGGTGTGGTAGCGCG